CTGGGTCATTACACCCGTTCATGATGAGGAGCCGGCTCAGGATCACCATTCTCCCGATCCAGCATCACCTGAGCTCCAGTTCAGATACCAAGCTTCGAAAAACGTCTTCAGGCTTTGGAGGATGGCTTGGTTTCCATCCGGGCTGATATTGCTTCACTCCGTACAGATGTCATAGCCGCATTGAGAGACCTATCCAGAGACATCCGTGGAGCATGCCCTGCCCGTCCTGCCTCCTCCACTTGATCTTTTATATCTATGATATCTGCCATATTTTTACTGCTGTTACATTATTATTTTGGCCCTGGTACTATTGGGATGTATTATATACTGATCTTTATTTTCATCATTTATACATGCTTTATTTTTGGATGTCATATTATATATTGATATATCTGTTTGTGATTGACTCCATCAGGTGCATCTCAGTGACTTCAGTGAGAGAGAAAGCTGCCAAATTTTCAGGACCACCCTTATACCTCTCTTATTATTTCATTTGACCATCCTATTTACACTTGTATGTCCACTGTGCACTGTTATTATCCCTTTTTTTATCTGATGAGTTTTATCCTAGTGCCATCTTTTTAGGACCTCAGTTAATCCTAAGTTTGGGGGGGCTATGCCACCTACTTTAGATACTTCTGTCCCAGTCATTCTTGCTAGTTACACTGGTATACTTTTTCCCTTTGTTCTCTTTGCACATTGAGGACACTATGCCATTTAAGTTTGGGGGTAATGGTGCTTTGAAGTGTTTGTTTTTAAATTCAAAATTTTGAGCATGACTTGTGTATTTGAGGAAATTTCTATGATTGGTCCATGACTAGCCATGATTTTGATCTTTTGAGGACTATATTGCTTAAAATTTAAAAATTATTTGACTCTAGAGTCCAATACTCCTTGTATGCCTTGTGGATGCCATTTAGGAGTAAATTTTTCAAAATATTGATATCATGCTTGCACTTGTGGTCTACATCTTCCTGATTTTGTGATTGTTTTGAGATTCTAGGATTCTACATTAGCACAGGCGCACACTAGCATTCATTTGTGGGGTATATGCTTTGTTAATTATTGAATTGGTTATATCCCAATTGAGTTAGTAGTGCATTGAAAGCTTTCATTCTTGATTAAGGTGGATAACAAACCCTTTTCATTAAGTAGTCGGGATTCTAGCCTCATCAAGCACTGAATTTCTCGCGCCGAAAGGTGGAGGGCCCAAACTCTAGGTAAATAATTGAATATGAAAAAAAAAGAAAGAAAAAAAAAGAGAAAGAAAAGTTGCAAAAGCAATAAAAAAGTAAGGACTTCTCCTAAAAGGTGAGAAGTGGGAAATGATTAGATGGAGGTTGTCTTGATTTGTAGCCTAGTTGATTTGAGCTTGTAAGTCCGTAGGGGTGTTTGAACACCTAATGCCTTAAAGTCATCCAGTTTGGGAGTCATTGACCTAACGCTCGACCTCATGGATCATTAGAAGGTTTAATAGATCAACACATTGCACTATGCTTCCATCTTTTATCCTTAGGATTAGGAAAAAAAAAAAAAAAAAAAAAATTTAAGTGAAAAAAATAAGCCCACCCAGATCAATAAAGATTTAATAAAAGGTCCACTTTTTGTCTTGATGATCGGTACTAGATTTGTGTACTAGTTTGAGGGTAAGGATGTGATTAATTCTTTAGTTGGCTTAGATAGCAACATATTTGATGCCGGTCCACTCAAAAAGGATTCTAGAGTTGTTTTGATTTGCATGATCATTTTCTTGATGTGTGGAGGACCATAAAGGGTTGAAAAATTGTATACTTGAGGTAGTTTTCTCTCAATACTTGTTTGCAATGAGCTTAATGTTTGTGGGTATCATTTCTGGAAACCCTCACGAGACTTCACTCGTCCACTAAGGGTAACCTAGGGGTTTAAAAGGCTTGTTACATGTGCTAAGTACAATCGTGTTCCCTACGAAAGTGGTGTTATCCTTTTATTGTTTTCTAGTTCATACTTGTATATTTGTTCATTTCATTCATTTACTTTCTAGTTCATTGCTAGGGACTAGCAATATTTAAGTTTGGGGGTGTGATGAGCGCTGAAAAGTGCGCATTTAAACCCCTTAAGCTTAGGTATTTTAGAACTTTTATCTATTTTATTTTTTTGCTTTAGATTGATTTTGTATTATTTCCATTTTCAGGTAATTATTCCCAAAATAAGCTAACTCAGCTAAATAAGAGCATAATTGAAGCAATCTTGAGATGAATCAAAGAAAAGAGCAAAGTAGAAGCAAAATGAAGCAAATGGTGGAAATTTAGCAAGTTCGATCGATTAGAGATTCTCTTCGATTGATCCAACATTGATCGATTTCAGCACTTAAAGATGGATCCAAGCTATTTTGTCCTTATCCAAAGATCCCACAAAGTTCGATAGATCCAACTTTATTTCGATCGATCGAAAAGATTCCATCTTATCCAGTTGTACCACCCCACCTACCACTTTTGTCTCTTTCCCATAAATATCTCCAAAATATCTCAGATTTGTCTTTATCCAAAAAGGCACCGCCATAGAGGATCGATCTAGCCTTAGTTCGATAGATCTCAGCCATGTTCAATCGATTGAACTTCCTTAAGTGCGAGAAAATTCAATTTCCAGCTCATTAAAATTTGTTTCATATCCAATCATTGGGAGGAATATTGGTGTACGAGCCCAGGTCATTGGGGGTGACATTTGACCTACCTATATAAGGAATATGAGCCACTTTTACAAAAAGAATTTTGACATAATTTCTATATCATATTCTTAGTGAAGAAGAAAAAAAAAGAGGAGGCTAGAGACACAAGCTTGGAGTTCTTCCATCAACCAAGAAGAGGAACAATTTCTACCATGCAGTTAGCCCTTGAGGGTTGGAGGACACCATCCATGAGTGGCTAGACATCCTCTTGGGGCTAGAGTTAGCCCTGAGCATGCTTTCTACATCTTGATTTATGTATTTTTGAGGGAATTTGTATTGTGATACATGTTTTGACATTTTTATATCCATAGATCTTGTTTATTCAATGATTTGTGTGGTTTAATGCTTCCAATTAATCATTTCATTCTATCCATAAGTCTATGTATGCTAGAATAGATGTTCATGTGTTTGTCTCTAGATTTTGTGTTATTGATGCATGTCTACGTGTATTGATGCTATAGATCTAGAGATTGTCAAGACATAGTACTTAATAGAATGCTCTTGTGGTTTATTTGATGGTTCATACTCATTTCTTGATGGATTGTGCCTCTCCCTTAGTTTAATTAGTTTAATTTCATGTTATTAGTTTAATTGTAGTGTAGTTGTAGTTTAAATGTTAAATGGGAGGACAATCCATGCTTGTTGTTTGATGTTCCATACTTATGAAAACAAGTAACATATGTCTCTAACCTTGTGATGTGTTTGGATTATGAGCTTAAAGAAAGGATTAATGGATTAGTTTGATATATTATGCTATCTACTATGTTGCTTAGATAATATATGCTTAATTAGTCATCCATGCTTGTTGAAACAACCACACACACACATTATTGTTGCAACACATGTTTTCCCCTCATTAATCATTCATTAAGGGTGTAGAAAAGCTATGCTTAGGGGTGATCTCTAAACCCCAAGATCTCTCTTTCTCTCTTATTTTCTATCTATTGCATTTACTTGATTACTTTAGTTTACATTGCATCTTAGTAGAATTCAATCACCAACCAATCTTTTGATCACTCAACCTACTAACCCTAATCTCGATTCCACAACCTTATACGACCCACCAATCCCTTGGGACGATCCTTACTCGCCCTAATTATATTTTTAGTGAAAGGTAGTAGTGACAATTATGAATGTAAAACTTGGTCCCTCACCTTAATGTACCTTCTAAGCTATGTGGTAGGACGACGACCACTTCTGATAGTGTTAGTGTGCTTTGGGCTTTATGATATTATACAGATAACTAGTGGCTATCATGATAAATAGATAAATTGAAATGATAAAGGATGCGTAAGATGGAGTTGCAACTATAGTTAGAACAACTGCAAGAGAAACAAGTGAATTTTCAATTATCGTAAACGTATATCAAGGATTGATGTTAAGCTTCTATCTTTTTTACTTGATTATACATGAATTAACAAAAAAACGTAAAGGATGAAGTTCATGGTCTAGGCTACTTATTGATGATGTTTTTCTGATTAATAAAATTAAAGAAGGGACAATGCTAAATTAATTGTTCGAAGTGACGGTGTAGAATCAAAAGAGTTTAAGATAAGTAGGACTAAACTGAATGTGTTAATGCAACTTTAGTAAAATGAATGCGAGTAATAAAATAGTGAAATAAAGAGTGGGGAGATACCAAAACTAGAACAATTTTGTCATCTAGTCTTGATTATTGAAGAGAGGGAGAGATTGGAGATAGTTTTACTTATAAAACCAAAGCATGATGGGTTAAATGCATAGTGCTCCTAATAGATTGTATGATCAACATATTACTTTAGACTAAAAGGTAAATTCCATGAAACAACGTTTAGACCTATTATACTTTATGACATGCCAAATGAGTAGAGAAAAGCAATATAGTTAATTTATAATTACGAAAGAGATATACAACATTATGGCAATTGTTATCATACAATCAAACTATGAGAATGGATAATAAAACAAAGATTAAGGTTTCCACGGTGCTTGTACCTGACAGACGTACCCGAGTTCGGTTAACGTAGGTCATAAACTAATAATGGAAAGTCTGATATTGCCAAGATATGGCTTCTGAATTATATTAGGAATAATGTAACTATTATAATAGAATGTTCAGAAATCTAGATATTTCCTAGATGTGGTTACATGTTCTTTTACATAATTGTTCATTTTTTTTATCTTTGTTGTTTTGGAGATATTATTAATGCCTAACATCCGTATGGCACTTCCTTGACCTTGGAGTTGAAATCGGCATGATCTATTCTTCTGTTCTCAAGTATTTTCCGTTGACATCTTTATTACCTGTCGGGTGAAGAATATTATGCAAGGGCAGTTTGGTTTATTCCAAATAATGTATAAGCCATATCTAGAAGAACATGCAACCAATGACTTGTTGAGATTTTCATCATCTGGTGGTCACCAAGTAAATATATCTCAGGTCCATTCAAATCCTTGAGTTCTCAATTCCTAGAGCAGATTTAATCTTGTATCTTTTCTTTTTCTATTGTTATGAAAGGGTCCAATATTTCCTTATCAATTATTCAAACATTCACTTTTATTTGGGGACTCCAGTGAGGCCACACATATATTTGTAATTTCAGTGTTGAAACATGATACTCTACCTACCTTTATCTAGTAGAATCATATAAAAGCAGTGTAGCTAGCATGAAAAGTTCATTATTGCACTCTTGTCTTGATATGTTCCTATTGGTCAACACCAGGATTCTAGTTTATCTACAGTTTCCTCCCTTGTTTCTATTCTTCCGGCGATGGTCAGAGGCCAAATGAGGATCAGAGTAGGAGAAGAGAAAAAAGTTGGTAAATCTGGTATGAACAACAACTTTGATGGTGTAGATTGATAGGAAAATGAAACCTAAATAGTCCCTGATTTAAGAGTTCTAGCCTCCCATATGCTTCAAATCATCTTTGTGGGGAAAAAGAAAAAGAAAATGAAAAAAAAAATTGCTTAAATTCATATGCAGATTTCCAAATGAGTATCTGATGCAAAATTTTTGTTTGTATTGCATTAACATCACATTGTCTTTGTAGGTCAAGTTATACGTGAAGTTGTGATTAATTCAAGGGAAGAGGTTACTGAATGCATGCAGAAAGTTGTGAGGCGTAGGGTTATGATTTCAAGTGCAAGGCAGGCTGTTTCTGGAATACTGACTGTTGGTGCTGTTCATGGAGTTAGATATCTTGCAAATAAGATGCGCAAGGCTTGGAAATCATGGACATGAACTTGAAATACTGACTGTTGGTGCTGTTCAAGTGCAAGGCATGCTGTCTCTCCTATTTTGGGTTTTTCCTCCTTCCAAGTGGGTTGATTTCTTATGGACTAAAACCTTGATAAGATAAGTACAACATTAGCTTGATTTAAAACTAAGGCTAAATGGGCTTTGTCTAGAAGTGCACTGTATTTTTGGCAAACTTTTCAGAGGAAATGAATGATTCCTGTAGGAGTTTTGTATCTTTAATATAAGGATCATTTTTTCTATTTGTATCAGTAATATGTGAATCGTTTTTTTCTTTTGGGGGTAAGAAGAATCATTTTTTTTTTCTTTAATTTTGTAAATTATATAAGCTTTTTTTTTTTTTTTTTTTTTTTTTTTTTTTTTTTTTTTTAACTTGGCAATTTATTGAGAAAATACTAGCATATTCAGGTTATAATGATTTTTTTAATACCGAGAGTGCTTATCTTCTTAGTATCTTAGTCTGAATATCTTGGTAGGGTAATTATGGAATTATTAACTAACACGCTCCATTTGTTAGCAAGAAATGACTACCAGGGGCAAATTGCACATTTTTTTATAGTTGTGGTACTGACTTGCTCGATTTTGTAGTGCAAGGTAGTATAAAATATCGTATAAGCAAGGACTATCATTTAAAAATTAGAATCACTGTAACGACCCGGTCATTTGCCTTCCTTTCCTTTTTCTTGAAATTTTACGAATGAATTTTTTTCGTTTAATTTTCCTTTCTAAGCTCTGTTTCGTGTCGTTTAGTGTCATCTCGAGTGCTCGGAATTGGTTTCTGAGACTCTTTCATGTGAATTGATAACTTCCTTTGAGGACCGAGTCATTTTCGCATTTTTCGTTTTTTGGACACTATGCACTATTTCGTCTTTTCCCTATTCTATCATTTTCCCTATTTCGTCTTATCTCTGTTTGTCAGTTTTTGGCACAACCTCACTTCTCATGCTCGGAGTTGGTTTTTGAATTCACGTGCCTTCATCTTGAGTGGTTTCCTCGAAATACGTATCTTTACTTTTACAAGAAAGTACTCTAGTTGCTCCCGGTGTCCATAGGGGCATGGATGCAAAGTTCTTTGAAATTACTTTCTTTTCTTGGGGTGTTTTTCGTAAATATCTTTTAAAGATATTTTATTTTAGGGGTTTTTAAGAAAATATTTTTGGAAGATATTTTCATTCTGGGCTATAAGTGCAGTTTTCATTTTTTGGAGGGGCCATTGTGCAATTAATGAAAGTTATTGCAAAATGTCTTGTTTTGAGCCTGGATCCTCGTATGGGATTCATTTTCATATTTCGTCGAGTTGTGTACTCTTGGAATTTCCTCCTGGTCGATGTTTTCCAGTTTCAGGGTTTCTGGCCCCGGTTTTTGCCAAACTTGTTTTGGGCATAACTTTCTGTTCGGGACTCAGTTTTTGACACCGTTTCTTCCTTTATTCATATTTTATCATTTTGAATCTTTTTCGTTCACAAAGTTTTGCCATTTGAGCGCGTCTGCTCAAATTTTACTTTTTCGGACCCGGCGGGGCCCGTTCGGGGCACTTTTTGAAATTTCTATAAAAGGGGGGTGAGATATTTCATTTTTGATCTTCTCCCCTCTTCATGCACGACCTGGAGCTCCCATGGCTGCCCAAGGGGTGCTTCCATCTTCTCTCTCCTCTTTTGGTTCACTTTTCCTTGATGGAAAATCTTCGGCCTTAACGTTTGTTGTTCCCCTCGCCGTGCTCTACCTTTCCCCCTTATTAGAATTCAGTTTTGACCATTTCTTGAGTTTGGTTTTGAGGTCAAGTTATGATTTTCATGGGGCTTCTTGCGGATTCTTGTTCACGGTGTTGTCCCGGACAAAACCTCTCGGTATCGTCGAATTCGGAGCACTTTTATTTTGGTGGGTCTTTGGGATTTTCATCTCAAATTGAGGTAGGAGATGTTCTAGGTTTAAATTCTTGTTATATAGCATGCTTGTGATGCTTATACTACATCTTTGCATGATTAAATATAAAATCTAGAGATTTTATTATTTATTTTTCTTGTACGAGATCTAATTTTCCGGGTTGCTCATGACTTGGTTTAAACATGTAGCATGATTTTATATTGCCCCTTGATATGCTCATTGTCATGTATTAAAATTGGAACATTTGAATAAGTATTAAAGATTTTATTTAATATTTATCTTAGGTGAAAGATTAATTCACATGGCCTTAACTAGCTTGAAATTAATATGTGTTAGCATATTATATTAGGCCTTAGCATGCTCTTCAACATAGTTGAATTTGAAAGTAATTGGAGGTGTTTTGAAAATTAGTAATTATTAATTATTAATTAATTTGATTAATTAATTTGCCCCGAGTGCACTATTCACTCTATTTAAATTCCAACTTGATATTCTTGATTTACATGCCATATAGTTTCATATATATTTGATTTAGAATATTCGGTTAGGTTTTGAAACCTTTTATTTAATTAAATTCCATGTTTAAGATTTAATCCTCATGGTGATATACAACTTGGAATTGTATTGTGGCATGCTAGAAAATTAAGCTTTGGTGTGGTTGTTCACATATATTAATTTGGGACTATTTAAAGTTATTTTAGAACCTTGGGATTTAAATTAGCATGATTTAATTAAAATTCTACTTTGTTGTTCCAACAACCTAATTGAGTTTTAGAATGGATATAGGTGATGACCATACCATGTCATTTAACATGTATTAAATTGAGGTTATTTGGAATTGAATCGGAATCTAGAGAATTCAATTGTGTTTATCTATTTAAATTCTTTCAATTTGCTCCATGATCTAGTTGTGTTTTAGAAGTGGTTTCTATATTCAAATCATGGACTTAGACTTGTTGTATATTCATTTGGTTATGTTTTGAACATTGGATAACATAGTTGCTATGTTTATACTCATGAGAATATGTTTTTCTTATTGAATATATTGTTGCCTTGTGTAATGATTTGCACACTTCATTTTTAACGTCATTCAATCATAGCGTGTAACGAATCGCACACTGAAGATTCGACATTCATCACATCATATTAGTTATGGATTTAGAGCATGTATTGTATAGGTTTCCAAATTTGGTTGTGCTTAGTAGATAGTTGATCATCTTGCATATTCCTGTTGATATATGCGTTGTTGCACAACTTGTTGATTTTGGAAACTTGGGGATGTCGTTGTTTGACAATGGCTAGGATGTGGTTCTAGTACGGGGGATAGTCCCTCTATATAGTCTAGTGCGCACATAGGGAGGTTACCCATGGGCTAGTAACCCTAAAGTAACTATGTTGTCAGTCTGATCCGGCGTGACGTCTGAGTATCCACTTTGTTTGATTTCTCATTTCATTTTCAAGTTGATAACTAGATGATGTTGTAACTTGTTGTTTCTTATTTGTCGTTCCATTTTAAGTTACAGGATGTTAACTTTGCGAAATTGTGCTTTATGCGTTGTATTGGAAGTTCCAATGTTGGTTAAATAGCATCAATATTGAAAATCGTGTTTTGACGTTCTAATAAAGCTTAGGATTGATCCTATTGATTCTTTTATAACATAGATGTTAGGTGGCTTGAACCACTACTGTTATTTTGTGCTTTAGATTTTAAGTTGATGGCTTTGAGAAATTTAACCTTGTTGCATTGTATAACATGCTCTTTTGTTGTTGAATTGCATGGATAATGTGATTCTTGTTAACTTGTATTCAAATATGCTTTTGTCATGTTGTATGGATTACTCTAGACCTAGTTCAGTTGTATTGAAAATGCAATTCATGTTAATCTATGCTCAAGCATTCTTCTTGTCGTGTTCTTTAGATTATCCCAACCATGATTCGTTTCGTACACGTATGTATATCATGATTCTTGTTGCTTAGACTCTAAGGTAGCTTAGGATGCTCCTCGAGTCTCACTTGGTCATAGACGTTAGGTGGCATAAGCCCCTTTAACATGTTTCACCTTAAGGTGATAAATTTGTAAAATGCTAGGTCGATGCATGCTCATCTCCTACAAGTAGCTTTATGTTACTCACCCCTACGATACTGGGGCATATTTCAGGTACGAAGACTTGGTTCGTGAAGCCTAGCATTCTTTGGATGTCGAGTAGCTTTCAAGTTTCCATTTCATGCAAATGTTAGCATGAAATGTCATTTTGTAGACTTATATGTCAAAATATGTATGTTTGATTCCATGTATGTAATGTGTACTTAAGTACACTCCTTTCAATATATTTGATATGTATGAGATGAGGCCGGAGGCCAATGACATGTATATTGTATTCTATGCAACTTTTTAACTTCATGAAATGTTATGAAAAACTTGAAAATTCGCAAGCCATTGCTTCACCACGGTTGCATCGGGTGTGGGAATTCCATTTTCATTCTTTTATAGGGTCTTAATAATCTTGTATAAAGTGTGGCCAAGGGCTAAATGGTCATTTGATCCCGTTTTGCATTTTTGGATTCCATGTTTTCCATTCCAAGTCCATTTTTGCCTTTTTGCCCATTGGGGGGTCGGATTTTGCATCGGCTATATTTTTAAGCCATGGACCATTGTAGCGCGTCTAAATAGGTAAGTTACGTTTGCGTGCATAGTTATTTTCGGGCAAAACCTCATCGTTTGTGTTTTGAGCCTCTTGTGAATTCAGTTCGCATTTTTTTTTTGCATATTCTGATCTAGGGGCACTATAGACCTTTCACTTCAGTTTTATTTTCTTCTTTTGATATGGTTGAATAGAAAACATGATTTTAGGGGGTGTTTCTTCTTCATGTTTTTCCAGAAAATATCATCGTGGTACCGGAAATCTCTCGTGAAGTTTCAGCTTCCAGTTTTCATTTAGCAGCTTTATGACCCTCTTGTTCAGTTCTGATCTAGGGGCATTTTTGGGATTTCACAGTGAGTTTTTTTTTTATTCCGTCCGAGATGTCGGGTAGAAAACTCGATTTTAGGGGGGTTTCTTCTTCGTGTTTTTCCAGAAAAACTCGCCTTGACCTCCGTTTCAAGCCTCAGTTCTGG